CCGCTCTGGGACTCGGCTGTGTTGCCGCCACTGGGGTCCCTGCTGCGGGAGCAGCACAGCCGAATCCCGCTGAGCGCCGTGTCGTCCTCCATTACCCCCTGGGGCACCTCTACCTGTGAGGGAACGGAGGTAGGGGGTTAACTCCCCGTGGGAGCGGGGTCCCTGGACCAGCTGTGGGCAAGGCTGCACCTTGAAGTTAATGCCGCTGGCGTAGGAGCACTTGGGGCACATCTCCAGCCAGGCCCAGTCTCCCCAGGGTCCCCCACCGAACACGGCGATGACCGAGGCATCCCTCCCACCCAGGTCCCACTCCTGCCCCTGCCCTGCAGCGCCTGCAAGCCCCGCAAGCAGCAGCAGCAGGACCTGTCCCCATGGCATGGCTGCCCTGCCTGCAGCCGGCCCACTGGGCTCTTATACCTAGCAGGCTGGCAGGAGGGACCTGGCAGCATCTCAGTTACCTTCCCAGGGTGCCCAGGCCTGTCAGATGGCCAGGATTAGCGGCAGGAGAGGGATGCAGGGAGCTCATCCACCAGCTCTTTGTTTGGGTCCCTCTCCAGGCAGCTCACCTGGAGCCAGCGGGCATCCTGGTGCCAACCAGGGCTCAGGGCAGCATGGCGCCGGGGCACTTTCCCCTCCCGCTCTGGGCTCCCACCATGTGCAAGATGCGATTTGCATTCTGACTTTTGCTCTTTCTTTCTTTTTTTTGCAGTTAAAATGGACAGGCACATTCACCGATACCTCTGATGGAAATCCCTTCCCATCTTCTCTGCCCTCATTCCCCAAGGTATCCATTTCATCATGGCTTCACGCTTCATTTGTCCTAGTTTGCTTTCCAGTTGCACCCTCCTCTTTCAGAGGGTTATCATCTTACTGCTTAACAGCCACTTTCTGCAGTAACAGCTCTTTTAAGGATTTCTGAGTGTTTTTATTTCCATGAGTCTTGGATAAGAGACTTCCAGCCACCTCCGTGATAGGACCTGGCTTAGATGCTTCTTCAATTTCTTCTACCTGGGCTCCTCAGTTTCCTCCTTCCGAAGTCAAACACTACTGCGGGGGGTCTGGTGACCTCTTCCCCTTGGGAGGATGCAGTTGCTATGGTGTTATCCCACAAGTGGGATCCGGTACCTGGTGTGCAATAAGCCAATCTCACACACAGAGCCGAGATACTTATTTATCTCATGTTTGTGCAAAGATGGGTCCTAGGTGGCAATTCCACAAAGCTAGCACAGCACACAAAAGAACTACAGTGTATTTATACTGTTACATGATTAGCAAAAACCCAACTAAGTTCATGCTTATTGGTTAGTTATGTTCAAATTAGCCTTGCTTGCCATGTAAATTAGCACGCATACTCCTTGCAGATTTCTGGGAAGCGAGTCTTCCCAGTCTTGAGTTGGTGGTCGGGATCTCCCCCTGCCGCCTTTACTTTTCCCCTAGTTACTGCAGTTTTTTGCTGACTTCTTGTTTCTTTGGCAATCATCTAGCCTCCAGCGCCTTCTAGGGCAGGAAGTTCCCCTTTTATCAGTCTTCTAGTTCTTCTTCAAGGGCATAGTCGTTGTAAGGCACGCATTGTTTAAACAAGGTAATCAGGCTAGTACAATGAAGACTACAGCCTAGGTATTGACCCAAACATACGGCTACAATGGTGGACCACGCACTTGCTACTAGATCCCCCCCGGGGCTCAGACACGGCTGGGAGTCGAGCCCGGGGTCCCCGTGTGCCAGGCAGGAGCTTGAGCCACCCCCGGCCGCAGAACAGGCCAGCCCGGGCCGTCCCCGTTCCCCCCGCCCCGCAGCAAAAATCCCGACGAGGGTGGGATTCGAACCCACGCGTGCAGAGCACAATGGATTAGCAGTCCATCGCCTTCACCACTCGGCCACCTCGTCCTGCCCCACGCCGCGCGCGGCCCC